ATCAATTAGTTTAATTAGTTGGTCTTTATTAGATCCTTCTATTTTATTTTTTTAAATTTATATTATGCTGCTATTTCTTTAACAATCTTATTATAATTTGTACATATAATGTAACTATGATAATCATATTCTTTATAATTGAAGTTATCATATTTGTTTCATATGGTCCTCTAATCATCTTTTTAATTCATTTTCTACACATAAGACACTTCTATTAAATTTGTTTCTTTTGTTTTTATTTTACTTTGATATTTTCTTTGGATTCTTCTTCCTTTTTCTTCACATTTAGGGGCTTTGATTTATTCATACACTTATCTCTAAGAGGTTCTAAGAGGTGCAACTTTTAGTTTAAATACTGTTGATTATTACTATTATTATTGTTATTATTATTATTATTATTATCATTTCTATAGTTTCTGTTTCTGCTGTTATTACAATTACGATTTCTATTATTATTACTATTATTATTATTTTAGAAATTTCAATCTCGATTATTATTTGAACTTCTACAATCTCTAGTAAAATAGCCAAACTTTCACAATTAAAACATTTAATATTTTATTAATTATTTGTATTGTTTGTACATCAATTGTTACTACAATCTCTAGATTAGTATTCAAATTAAAGCATTATTATAATCGTTGCTGTTGCTGCTACTATTGTTATTACTATTATTATTTAATATTTGTTATGATACTTTTAATTCTTCATTTTATTTATGATTAATAGTACCTTTAATATCTAGTTGTTGTGTAATATATGTGAATTGCATTGTAATATTTACTTAAACTGGTACTATTCCTCCTTATAATAATTGTATATAATTAAATATCAATAAATAAACGAATAGTTCTATTTTAATAGAATATGCAGATTCTACTACTCTGACTTTTTCAATTGCTTGGTTTATTATCATCAGCATTATTATTTACATTGGCACTATAAATTCTGGTTATAATCCTTCAATAAATTTAGTTATTCAATCTATCTCAGCTCACCTATATCATGAATCAACCCTCTTCTATAATTCTCCTATTACTGCGATATATTCTTCAATGATTTTACCTGACTTTTATTTTCTATGTCTAAGTTGATGCTTTCATTAATTTTATAGAAATGTATTGCAAAAATGTTGTTCAAACAATGATACAAAAAAAGTATCAGGATTGATTCTACTATTACAGTTGGTAATATACTGTCATTGAAACTATGTTAATGCAGTTCCTATTAAATAATTAGGGATTATCTCAACCATTTGAGTAGTATTGATACAATTTGCTTTACAGGCTTGTTTAAAAGCCTTGAGTCATTCCACTGGATTTTGGTTTTCTTTTCTAAATGTTGGCAAATTCACTAATCGTTACTTTCTCATTTGATGTTCTTGAAGCAATTTTACTAAACCTTATATAACTTGAAGGTAAACATTATTATTATTTTCTTATATAGGTATCATAGCTGGTTGAAACATAAGTATCAATTGAGAAGTGATTATATTAGTTGATAGCAAACTGCTTGGTATTGACTAAGAAATTGTCATGTTAGTTGGTTAAGAACTGCCTCCTATGGAGTTTGATGGTGATCATATATTATATGGTTAAGCTACTGTTGTTGATTATGAAGTTCTTGTAATAGCTATATTTTGCTATCCTATCATATTACTTTCTTTGTTATTTGGATTACTTCCAAACTAATGATTACCTATTGATTACTAATTTACAGTTATAAAGCTAAAGGTTGTAGATGGATTACTATTTTAAAAATTAGTAATATAAAAGAAATTTTCAACAACTTTTGGGTTTTTATGTAACCTTCGTTTAATTCATTTTTTTCATTTTCACTGTCTTTGTCATCTAACATGACACAGTTAATGTAACTTCTAGTCACATATATCACGTTATGTTAGCTAATCTTTTTAATTAATATCTTCTTATTACAAATATTTCTTATATTTAAACCTTTTAAATCTTGTTAAAAGAACCTTTTCTACTATAAATTATTGTTTTTTTTAAAATTTTCTTCAGAAGAATAAGTATCACTTTTGATAAGTTCCACATTAAGAGTTTTAGTATTTTTAGAAGACTTAGAAAGTTCTGAATTGTATCATAAGTTTCTTTGTAATCTTCCATTTAAAGTATTCAGTAGTATATTGATATGATAATCGATTTATTAGTAAGTGATGACGCGTTATCGTGTGATATGTAAATATAGATCACGTGAAAATTAAGTAACCTCCCTGGTGCAGATTAAGATTCCCCTGGACAAACAATTTAAGATCACGTGAAATTTGAGAAAAAATGATAAAAATTTGCGATACGATATTATATAAACTTAGACAAAGTCTAATAAAATGTATAGTTTAATTATTGTTAAGCAAGAACAAGATATATTGGTTCAAAATTTTCTATAAAATTCTACTAATAAATAATGCTCAAAATAAAAAAAAAATAAAAAATACTAATTAATGCATAAATTTTATTACAATTCTTCGTGTTTGGATTTTGGTTGCTCAGTTTCTTTAGTTTTAGTTTCTAATGAGGTTGATATGGTAGTGGTTGGTTCACTAGTAGATTCGGTACTTAAAGTAATTTGTTCATCCGACGTTGCCGTCGCTGTTGTTGTTGTACTAGTTGTTGTACTAGCTTTAACTTTCTTAGGTTTTTTGGAAACCAAGTGTAAAAATTCGCGTTCCATTTCATTTAATTTTTTTTCAATATCTGTACTAGTCAAAACTGGATCAACGTGAGGTGGTGTTTTTTCTTGTAAAACTAATTTTTCATTAAGCCACTCTTCAACTTTCCCAACTATATTTAATAATTTGTTAAGTTCTTCGTCTGTGTAATAACGATTTTCGGCTGTAGTGTTCGTTTTGATTTCCTCAACAAAAGCACGAGTGCTGTTGATAGCAGTTTTGATTGTAAAGATTGCCCCTGGAAGTTTGTCGCGCTCTTCTCGTCGAAATGCAATAGGTTGTTCAAGTAACCTAAATTTTTTAAAAAGAAAATAAATAAAATTATGGATTTTTAATTAAATATGGTGTAATGAAATCCTACTAACTTGAGATTCGTGAGACGCAATCTGAACTCATCGGTTTCAGCTTTTTCGCCTTCTTCATATAACCAATCAGATGTTTCAGACAACTTTGATGATAATTCAGCGCGTTGATTGTCCGTACTAACTAGTATTACTTCATTATTTTCAATCAAATCTCGTACGCGATAAACGAAAGCTTCCAAGTTATTTCTTGCTTCCTCGCGCACTCGTCGTTGAAGATCAGAGGCGTCCATTGCACGTAGTCTAATGAATAAAATGAATTAAATTATCTATACCAAAAATAAAAAGAATAACTTGAATGAGAAATTAATTTACCGCTTAATTGATATCACTTTCTCACTTTCACCCAAAGGCTTGATACCAACATATTCTATCTCAATGCTCAAATTTTTTGTCTCTGTTTTAGTTAGTTTTGGTTTTGGTATAGGCTGCAGTGTTTGGTATGTGATAAATTTATATTTTTTTTCGGACGCTAATAAAGTTTTTTTTGTAATCAATTATATTCTAACACCTTTTTGACGATAGGTGCTGCCTTCAGAGGAGCAGGTCTAAGCCGCCAATTTAAAGTGAAAGAAATCAAAGTTAAAGATATAACTCCTTATTCTATTGAGGTTGATTATTCTTCTGAGCCAAAAAATTCTGAAGATGGTAGGCTTTATATTTGACCTTTTTATACGTATAAAAATATATTAAAAGCATCGACTTTTCTAACGAATTATGTCTTTCTAGGCACTTCAAAATCTAAAGTATACCATACGGTGTTATTTAATGAGTTTACTACTATTGGAACGCGTAAAATGATGAGTTTCCCACGTACAAGTGATTTTAATTTTTCATTAAATTATGCCAAACTAGATGACGAAATCGCTAGAGATTTTGGGCCTACAAATATCGCAATTTCTAAAATTACTGGTTTGACTGATGCTATCAAGCAATTTAATGATGTTGGTGTAGACCGCCCTAAAGTCAAAGTTACTTTGCAACTATCTGATTCCGGTTTAGTTTCTGCAACAGATGCTATCGTGACTATTGAACATCAGTCTTTGGCAGGTACAAATAATTAAATTTTTAAAAAAATTGATTTTTATCTTGAATAATCTTATTAAATAAAATGCTTTTTCACGATTGAATATTTAGATAAATTCAAATCATTTTTTCAATCAGAAGAGTCAATTAAAGATGTTCCATTACCAGACGTGAGTTTTTTTTTTTTTAAAAAAAAAAATCGTTATAACTAACTTTAAATTTGAATAAACTAAAATTTATTGGATATAGGAAACGTCAAATTCAGTGAATGCGGCAGAATCTACACCAGAAGTAAGTGCAACACAAGTCAATGATACCGAACCTGAACCTATA